ACTTCCTTGTATTTTGTTGAATGTTCTCTGAGGATGGATGACTGCAGTTTTGAAGACGAATTTGATACTGGGTTGTCTTTGAGCTTCGCTCTTAATTCTACAGCAGATATTTATCTCAATGGATGCAGTTTTCAAAACAACAGCGCAAGCAGTGTAAAGATTTCCGGCAACTCTGTGCGTTTGAACATTTCGAATTCTTCGTTTGCTAACAATACGCTTCACAATGTAAACGACACCCTATTTGCAATGTCAACAAAAGACTTACAAGTGCCACAGATGAGCAGGTTCACAGTTAACTTCTCAAACGTTACGGTCTCACAAAACAGCTGTCCCGGTCATGCATGCTTTAAAATCGTGGCTGGTATAAATGAAAAATTAATGCTAGAAATGGATCAAGTAAGTTTTGAGAACAACCAGGCTGGAGAAAGTATTCTTGATGTTCATGGTTCGTCAAACACGTACGTTGAGGTTAAGTCAACGTAGTTTAGAAAGAACGCTGGCAGAGCGATCAACCTACACGATGGTAGCTCCCTTAAGCTACAAATCACCAAGGCAACGTTCTATGAAAACGAAATAGGAGAGAGGAGAAACGGAGGCGCTGTTTCTGTCAGCGGATTCACACAGAAGGCTTTTGTTTCTCTGTTGCGGTCAGACTTTATTTCCAATAAAGCGGCCGCAAATGGTGGCGCATGCGTTTTCTATGATATGTTTTTGTTGATACTAGATATTGAGAGTTGCCAGTTCGTGCAAAACGAAGTCTGCATCTCAGGCGGTGCTTTGTCTGTAGGCAGTAATTACAGATGACAAGTAAATGCAATCGTAGACGTTCGCAGTTCGCAGTTCAGTGATAATATCCTCCATTTCCTTGTCTTCGATACCTGCATCCGCTACAAAGAATGCAGCTTCCAAAGCGGTGACAACTGGCCAGCGGACGTGGGAGGTGGTGGCGCGCTGGCTTTGTATGTATTGAACATGAGGCGTCTGTCATTAGTAAATAGCACTTTTGTTAACAACACGGCACAAGAAAAGAACTCCGGAGCAATTCGAGCTCAGCTGGGTACCCTTTATACGGATGCTGTTGCTCTTAACTGCGAATTTATTCGAAATTCGGGCGGTTCATTGTCTAGTACCATTCAGCTGACTATCAGTAATCCTCTGTGGGCATTTCGGCCAAGAGTGACCATACGACACTCCAAATTCCTTGAAAACAAAGGAAGCAGTACAAGTGTCTATGACATTTATTTTGTTTCCAAGCTACTTGTTAATGAGTTCCTGTAAAGTGGTAAAAAATTCGGGCGGTGGTATATTCTTTGGAACCTATTCCAACACTTCCAATATCCTCGTGGAGAATTCCATAATGAGCGACAACTTAAATTTCGCCTTCTATATTTACACGGATCCAAACAAGATCAGTCATGGATCGCGCTACCAATTCAAGAACGTTTC